AGATTCTCAAGCTGTTGCCCTGGGTAAAGTGCCATGGTGTCATAGCTCACTGCAACCTCCTACTAAGGCTCAAGTGATCTTCTTGCCTCAGTTTTTCTATTTTTAGTAGATATGGGGGTCTCACTTTTGCACAAGCTGGTCTTGAACTCATAAACTCAAGCAGTCCACCTACCTTGGCCTCTTAGAGTGCTAGGATTATAGGCGTGAGCCACCACACCTGGCCCCAGTATCAGTTTTAACTCTGATACTGACATTGGGACTTATAGTAATTTAAATACCTGAAACTGACCCTTAAATTCAGAAAGGTAATCCCTGGTTAATCTAACAACTTGCACCTATTTTTTGTAGGGGCAATTTCCTTTTCCGTTAAAAACAATCAAGATGATTTTCAGGACGAGAAAAATCGAAAATCCTCCTTTCAGAAAACACTAAGAGAACTAGTGAATGATTTTCATGATGAAGACTCAGGTAAATTTATTATGGTAGTTTCATGATCAGTCTGCAGAAGCCCAATCATCATTCATTTCTAAGTGAAATGAATATTTCACATGCATAATTCATATACAAATTTATGTTGTATAAATCTGTAAGAATTTTATTAGATTATTTTAGGATTAACTTTAGGTAGCATACTTTCTGAATTTCTACTGATATTAATACCAATGGTCATAGTATTTTAGTAGGCTGCCTACTTACCCATGAGCGAAAAGCTTTACATATTGTTCTGTTATTAAACAAAAAGTATAACAAACCTCTGATAAAAATGTTAACAAGTGTATTTTTTTAATAACATAATATGCTTTTCTTATTTTAATGTAGAAGATGCTAGCCATCTTCCTCATATACCAAAGAAACTAAATGCTATTGTTTTTCCTTTGTATATTATAAAACCTTATTTGAATGTTGTTAAACACCATATCTTTTTAGTAGAATTTCAAAGGAGAATGAGATGGTGCATAATTAGAATAGTCAGGACAAATATCCTGGAAAAGGGGTAAATGAATTGGTTTTTTGCATGAGTAACAAGGATGTAAGAGGTTACTAGAGAAAACTGGTTCAATGTGAACAAAGTTGTGGAGACAAAGCGGTATAGCAAAGAAGAAATCTTAATGGAATGAATTTATATCAATCAGGATTCTTCAGAGAAACAGAAATCAATGGCATGGATACAGATGTAGATATATTTATGTTTTGTACTTATATAATATATAAATACATTTCTGTATTGTGTGTATACGTATACATCCACACATACAGAGAAAGAGAGAGAAGAGAGATTTTAAAGAATTGGCTAATACCATTAGGGGATCTGAAGAATCCAAAATCTGTAAGGCAAGCCAGCAGGCTAAAATTCAGGTAAGAGTTGAAGGTACGGTCTTGAATCCAAATTCCCCAGGACAGGACATGCAGGCTGGAACCTCAAATAGGGTTTCTATGTTTCAGTTTTGAGTAAGAATTTAAGTAACCTTAGTCTTTGTGATCAGGGCCTTCAAGTAATTGGAGGAGGCTTATCTACATTATGGAGGGTAATCTGCTTTCCTGAAAGTCTACTGAAATATATATATATGTATATATATATATATATAGAGAGAGAGAGAGAGAGAGAGAGAAAGAGAGAGAGAGACAGAGTCTCACTTTGTTACCCTTGGTAGAGCCCTGTGGTGTCACAGCTCACAGCAACCTCCAACTCTTGGGCTTAAGCCATTCTCTTGCCTCAGCCTCCGGAGTAGCTGGCACTATAGGTTTTTTTGTTTTCAACAGACTGGGGCTGGGTGCAGCCCTGGTGCATGTGGCTGGCACCCTACCAACTGAGCTACGGGCGTCACTTACTAATGCAAATATTAATGACATTTTAAAAATAGCTTCATAACAACATGTAGACTGGTGTTTGACCATGCAACTGCTCACCCAAAGCCCAGTCAAGAGGACAAACACAGTTAAGAATGACAGAACTCATGGATTATGAGTGGTATTTAGGCAATATTCAAAATGCTTTAGAAGGGGAAGAGCCTTTAGGACCAGTTAATTCATTCTAATGGTAAACTTGGTTTAAAGCAAAGAGAATTGGGTCTTTTATGGTGTTGATGGTAACAAAGAAAAACCACTAAAGATGGAAAAAATTTCAGAGACTGGCACTGAATGAACATCCTGAAAGAAGAGAATAACAATGGGGATTGATTCTAAAAAATAACAATAATGTTTATTTGTATATTGGTACATAGAAAATTAATAAGGCAGAAATTTTGAAGAAAAAGTTTGGGAAATTATAACAACTAGTGTGGCTTTGTACTCTCTGATATTGATGTGACAGCAAGACATTTACATAGTGATGTTCTGTTGTCAATTAAATCTTTGGAGCTGAGACTAGGTAAAAAACTATAATAAAATTGTCTAAAAAGGTTTAGGGTTTCTTCTATTGAAACTATGCAGATGAGACTAAAGAATAGATGATGCTTATAGATGTATTATGCTAACAGTTAAATCCCTATCAACATAAAGGCAGAAGAACCATGGAGGAAAATCTTTTATATGAAAGTAGAAGTGTTCAGAAAAGTTTGAAAAAAATTAGAATATTATGATATTACATTAATGGACTAATACTGATGTCTAATAAAAAATAGTAAGCTACCTGATGACAGGTTGCAAGACAGATTTAATAGCTAGAAAAAAAATGCATCTAATAACATTACAGGTATCCCAAATTCTTCACACAGACCTTTCCATTCTTTCTATCAGACATGATTAACGTTTCCATTTTCTGTAATAACATGTATTGTTAATACAGACTGCTCTGCAGTATATTTCTTTTCAAATTGGTAACTATTCCAGCTTTCCTCTCAGCAAAGAAATGTAAACAACAACTGCATAAAATAAGAATTTTGAAAAATATTCCAAATAGGGACATATGGAAAATAATGGTGACACCCGGTTATAATGAAAGTCAAGGAAAAAGAGGCAATCTCATACATTATAATGTAAATTTAAATTGATACAAAGTTTTTAAAGAGAACATTTACAATATGTTTAAAAATTTTAAGACTTATTTGTGTCTTTTGATCCAATGATTCTGTGAGGGATTTGTTAGAATAAAATAATCAAAGATATACACAAAATGTTACATACAAAAATGTTCCCTATGTGATCTACTATGTGAAAGCTATAACCCAATTATAGCCCAAGAATATGAGGAAAGGGAGGAGAGGGGAGGGGGGAGGATGGATGGAGGGAGGGTTATTGGTGGGATCGCACTTACAGTACATCTTATGAGGGTACATGTGAAACTTACTAAATGTAGAATATAAATGTCTTAACACAATAACTATGATTCACCAACAAAATGGTGGCCAAGTAGCAGCTTCTGTGTAACTGGGCGCAGTGAGAAGGGGGGAGAAGATTCCAGGTATCTCTGGCTGGTGGGTTTTGACCAAAAGCTGCCCTCTGGTGACCCAGGAAGTCAGTGAGAGACTTTAGGACCCCACAAGGAGGTCAGAAGCAGTGGAAAACCAGCAAATAGCGGGCGCCCGTTTGTTCGCTCGCAGGCTGCCTGCAGCTGTGCCTATAGCAACAGCAAGACTGCAAGCGGGAAGAGCCTTGACTGGGGGCTGTTTTGGTTTGTCTGGACTTGGACACTCCATTGAACTGCTTTGGGAGACATGGGGCCAGTGTGCGGATGACTTTGGGCGCTGTCTGGGGCCCTGGACTGAGCCGCTGAGCCGGTAAGGTGCTGATGTTGTTCATCTGTGGGCTGCCTGCACAGTTTCTATGGGGGAGCTGCCCCTGCATGGTGCAGTGCAGGAACGGCCAGGAGTCCTCGAGTGATCTAGTGACTGAGCTGCCCAAAGGCGGGGCTGTGACGCTGGAGGAGTGAGGAGATCCAGGTGTTTGGCAGATTAACACCCTTGGCCTCAGGGGCATTGAGGGAAACTGGATTTGGTGCATTGGATAAGCAAGCAGCCACATCAGGAGAGACCCTGATAAGTGCTTTCCTTGGAAAGCTTCTGCTTGGCCTAGGCCCACGGCTTTGAGGGTCTTTTAAGTGGGCCAATGAGATATTCGGGCTCCTAAGCCTGCGGGGTCGGTGAAACCAGTTGAGGCCTCTAGTCTCCATTTTGTACAGCTGTATCAAATTTGGGATTAACTTCTCACTCTTCAGAAGATCACCTGTTGCCCAGATAGTATTTACCAAGTTATATATATTGTTTTTTTTTTTTTTGAACTTCAACTTTTCTTCTTCTTCTTCTTCTTTTTTTTGACACTTTTTCTGGTCTAAATACAACCTTCTATTTTTGCCTTCTTTAACAATTTGAATTTTATTTTTGTCAGTGTTTCTGTCTCCTTTTTTTTTTTTTACCTCTCAACTTTATCCTACTAGGGGTTTTTGTTTTTTTGTTATGGTTTGATTTATAGCATTTTGGTCTCTCCTTTCTACCTGATGGAGGTGGAGTACTGTGTCTGAGCCAGCTGGCATAGAGCTGTTGACCTTAAGGTAATCACCCAACCTGGAACCCCCAGAGATTGGGGGTCCTTAAGGGTGGATCATAATACCCTACTATACACCTATGCTATTCTTGTCTTTTTCTTTTGGTGTCTTTCTTTTTTTGTTAATATTTCCTTTTACTCACCCCTTCTTCTTTCTCTCTCTCTCTTTCTTTTTCTTTTTTAATATCTTTTTTCCCTTCTTGCTCCTCAATCTTCTCATCCTTCTGGTCTTGTACCAAAAGGACTCATTAAAATTTTAGGCCAATAACATAGTAACTTAGAATAAGAAGAAGTGAAAGGAAAATTAGAGTAAGGAAACAGATATAAGAAAGCACTCATGAAGAAGAATCAGCAGAAAAATCCTGACAACATGAAATGCCAGTCCAGAGTAACCCCTTCTAGGGATCACAAGGTAGCTACAGCAGAGGATTCCTCCTATAAGGAAATGTTAGAAATGACAGAAGGGGAATTTGGAATACATGTGTTGAAAATAATGAAGGAAATTGCTGAGAAAGTGGAAAACAATCAAAAAATAATGAAAGAAATTGCTGAGAAAGTGGATAATAACCAGAAGGAAATTCAAAAACAGTATCAAATAAGAGATCAACAATACGAAGAATACAGAAAGGACATAACAGAGTTGAAGGAACTGAAGCAGTCAATCAGAGACATCAAAGATGCAATAGAAAGTATTAGTAATAGATTAGACCACACCAAAGAAAGAATCTCTGAGCTAGAAGATAAATCCCTTGAGATAACCCAAATTGTTAAAGTGGCTGAAAAGAAGAGAGAAATAGCAGAATGCTCGTTGATAGAATTGTGGGACACTATGAAGCAGTCCAATATACGAGTTATAGGTATCCCTGAAGGGGAAGAAGAATGTCCCAGAGGAATGGAAGCCATTCTAGAGACTACTATAAATGAAAACTTCCCTAATATTACCCAAGATTCCAGCATACCCCTTTTTGAGGGATATCGGTCCCCTGGTC